ACTATATTCCGTCTATACGTAGTCATTCAGTATTTAGTCAGTTAGAATATAATCCGTCATAATGTAATACAAAAGTTCGACAATGAAGCAAAATATTATATTTAGTGCACATGCACAATTAATAAGTTGATTTTGTGATCAATGTATTAAGATAACTATTGGATTAACAAAACTTTATTCTATACCAACTACATATGTAATTAATTTCCATTGGACAAAGTAGGGTCAAATATATCCCATATCGGACAGAAGAAAGCGTATGAGTTTTTCTTTCCAGAGTTTTCATCAAGAATAAAAGATCTTTATAAGTTAAAAAGTTGCAAAGGGTCGTGGTCGGTAACTTGCACTTTCCATTATCGACCATGAACAGGCTAAATCAAACCGAGCCGGCAACATGGTCAATTTTGCCGTGTTGGGCTTTGTTTAGGGATTCTGGTTTTTCTCTACTTTATAACATCAAAGCACAGAAGGCGCTGAATTGTTTGGGTCTCAAAATATCAGAAAGGTGAAGGTACCATTTTTTTTTGTATAGTGCCACCAATGTTGTTTCCAGTGTTATAACTGTAGTAAATTGGCTATAAGTTTAATTGCAACACTGTTATTCAATTCAATGTGTATTTGGCATAAACAATTTTAAAAATAATAATAATAAAAAAAAAAGAAAAAAAATGTGAGTTGCCTTATCTCGAATTTGAACTCCAGACCTCTCGCTTCCTAAACGAGCATGTAACCCCTCGTTCATGGGAAGGTTAACAGCCTGAAGAAAACCACAGTATTCTAAATTAGGGTCTGCAACCCTTATTAATATCAAGATATTTTGTTCACGGTAAACCTGTTGTTTAACACTGATGTAAATAATTATGGAGCTTAATATAAGCATGTATATCTGTAAAGAACACAATATTAGAAATCTTCGACCAATTGGGAACTTTTTTTCTTCTCCCGGGAAGTCTTGAAAATTAATGCGCGTTTTATTTGACAACACGCAGTGCTCTTCCCTTAATTTTTTCGGCGTTAGTGTACTTATAAAGGGAAGTAACCGCTTCGAGGAGTTCGGACTACTCTTGGTTTTTGCAAATAAGCATATCAGGGTCTGAAATTTCGCTACCATTATTTGTTTGGTCTGACGACCCAAACAAATACAAATTCATACAGAATTCACTGAGGTATCGACAAATACGGTCTTTCAGCTGTGTATTCGTTCAAATATATTCCCGTTTGATACAGAACACTTGTTAAACGTTTACTTACACTGTATTAAAACACATTACCGACAAATCAATGGCATCATTGTATTGAGCTTCTTTTTATATACATAGTGACAACTTTTTCCTAACTGTTAATGATGCATTCTAATTAAATCGCCTTTCATATAACGCCATAGCGCCTTTCATATAACGCTATGGAGCTTAATTATTCTGCCTTAACGAAACCTCGTTACTTTCTTCATATAGCTGTACGTGTAGTAGATATTTAAATAATTATTATGATCAGATAAAGAGTCGATCTTTTTAGGATTAAAGTTTAGCTCCGTTATTTTCAAGTCATGGTGAAGATGAAATACTAAAATAATTTCCCAATGGTAAAAGTACTAATTAGTATTTCTCAAGTGATATGTATACAAGAAATCGCATCTTCATACAGCGTGTCTTATCAAAATTTCTAAACATAGGTCGAAATATGCAAAAATGTCCTTACTGCGTTAGTCACGTAGTAGAAATATGGTGATAAAAAGTACAAAATCAGTCATTAATTGCATATAACAGGCAAAATATTTCTTTAATTGTAATTATTTCTACTTTTCTTAAAACTCTGAGTATATTTCTCACAAGGCAGAGTTTTTAAAACATATTTAGGCTCGCTTGGAGGCGTGCAGCATTAAATATGGGCAAGTCATTAAAGTTAACGTTCTTAATGTGATTCTATCCATACCATTAGTGTTGTGCGTGGCGTGAATGCATACTTGTTAGGAGCTAATTAATGTCAGATTTTAAATGATAGACATTAAAAACATGTTCACTGGTTCGAAATTAAAAAAAATATACTATCAATTATTTATTATTCTGTATTAACTACGACTAGTACATTAGTGAAAGCAATTATCATGAAGTCAATGAGGCTCAAAGCGTATCGGAGGTGGTGTTTTGTCAACGATTTTAACAAAGGCCTACATACGTCAGTATGTATATATATAATTTATTGGTTATCACGTTACGATATAAGCAATCAAGTTTGCCATAAATTATTCCTTTAGAATGACTGCGTACTACTTTAAATATACCCAGACCTACTCAAATATTCATGTTCACTTCACAGAGTAACAGGTTCATTACTGTCTTCCCTCTTCTATACCTGTATTGCAAGTATTTCATCTCCCATGGGATCCATAACGCGAGACATCTACGATGAAACATTTATGTAAAAAACTCTTTCATCACTCGGGTGAAAATATTTCAACTAATTACTTTACGCAGTCCGATTTTAATCTAAAAAAAGAATCTTAAACATCTTTCACTCTTTATTTATGCAAAAGATTGGTATTTAAGATACACTGTAAACTTAAAAATGATTTCTTAACGTTTACCTTTCTAAGGCTTATGCCTTTTCTCAACAGTATTGACAAAGTCCCGATAAACGCGCCGTGGCGTTGAAACTGAGACAATGCTGAAACAATGTTATTCCTACCCAAGAACTTTTTACAAGCATACAATAGTTTGTCTGTATATGATGACAATTGTTTTTTCATTCCATGGAGAGATTTTCTAAAAACAAGCTTGTAGCTTCCTGTTCAATCTTAATTTGTGTTTAATTTAATCATTTGTTGTAAATATGTTTAATTGAAAAAAAAAATGTTGTTTTAACTAATATAAATTTTGATATTAATATAAAATATTTGCAAGTTACATACACCAATCAGAGCGAAAAATGAATAACATGTTCATAAATTTAAAGGTTTTCAATATCCAACTGGAATAATGGTAGAATAAAAAATATCTTATTTTTCTTAGAGGTTGTTTTGTTTAAAGAAATGAAGGGTACAACGCAACTCGGAATGGTTAATGACGAATGATGAAATCTGATGTCAACTTCCAAATAAGAATACTTGTATATTTTTTTCACGAACAAAAATAACCTTATTTATAAATTGATCAGAGCTTTTATTTACCATAAGAAATGATTTAATGGTAGTGACCTAATTATTTGAACACACCAATTATCCTATAAATGAGTTAAGAATTTTTGCAAACAAATCATATACATACATCTTGTTTTGGATGACACGGCGTTGACATAACAACGCGATATATCCATGGATATTTGTTAGTAATATCTTGGCCGAAAAAAGTCGGTACTTTCTATTTGTATCGGTCTTTGATTATTGGTATACTTAATACTGCCCCCCCTTAACCTGTTGAATTTGTGTAAATAATTTGCCCTGCTTTGTATTAAGAACATGTTATTCAACGTTTAAGTGATTTCAATGTTAGAAACAGCTTTGCTAAATGACACAGACCCTGGTCAGACTGCACTGAAATCAGTTAAAATTCTTTTACAAATAATCAAGTGATGCGTCATATAAAATTCATGGCAAAATGGCAAAAAATACTGACCAGTCGTCCATATTGTCGGATTCAATTGATGGGATATTCTTTTAACAATTTTCCCAGTTCTACGTGCGATTTGGATATGCATATTATTATATTAAGTAAGACTCTGTATTAAACAAGGCTGTACATCTAGTATTAAACTTTATAATCTTGTATAATCAGGGTGGTATGAATATCCAATTGTTATTTGATATAGATTATCTAAAATAGAAATTCCTGTAGATATATAAATTAGATCTACAGTTTTTGCAATGAAAGGTGCCATTTTTCATGAAAACGATTTCCATCTCAAAGAAAACCACAAGTACAAAGCCAGATAGAGTCATTTGATTGTATATATAAGTAAGACTTAAAGCAAAGTTTTTTGCCATGTGGACAAATTAAGAAAAAGGAATAAAGCGATAAAATGTTTAAGCAGCAACGTCTTGCACTTCACTTCTAAATTTGAATTGTGAATATGTGTTTGTTTTGTTTATAATATTGTTAGTTTTTCAAAGGTTTTGGCCTTTTGATAATGTGTTTATTCAAATTGTGGTGGTAGTTTAAAGATATACTATGATCATCTTTGAGTAAAATAATTTTATTGCAGAATTTTATGAACATGTCTTATTTAGGTAAAAGAAGTAAGAACTATATATTGGAATCTGAGTTTGCTCTTACGATCAAGTAAAGCTTGCCCTTTCTTAAGAAAACTGCCAATTTTTTAAATACCACTCTATTTTCATAGTGTATCCACTTATTGCGTGTAGGATTTAAAGAAGAACACATCTACTTTGGTTGAAGCAAAACATATTTATTTCATATTTACAAAAATACTTTGTAGCAACATTATTTTCAAATATCTAATTTGAGCATTGTATATTTTTAATGTCAATGAATAAATTTATAATTTCAGACAGAATCATTGTTTGTTTCAAGGTCATGCGGTAGAAGTATGTCACACATAAGAAAGAACAGTTGCTTAAATGTATAAAAAGTGACTAAAACGGCGGTCTCCAGGAGTTCATTAAGGTTATTATATCAACGCGGGCGTTCTTCCTTTATTATCACTACGCGGGCGTTATTCCTTAAAAGATAACTATCTCGTTTTAGTCTTCAATTTTTCATGGTTCATTAAAGTAAGTCTATCCTAATGTGCTAGTTTTACGGTAAAGAGAGAAGGCTTGGATAAGTCTCACTTATTCTTACATAAAAATATATCCCTGATATAAACCATTTACCATTTGTTTTTATTTTCACGCTTGAAACGCACAGCTTGGAGATTTGATAAAGAATTAGTTTAACAGTCATCAGAATATACAGGATTTACCATGAGATTTGATGAACACAAAGCTTTGCCGAGTTGACGAAAGTTGCTGGTATTTTCCGATAGTTCTGTAGTCACATAGCTTCAATGCTCAAACGCAATTCATAGAAACAATCAAGGAGGAGTGAGTAAATGAACGCTGTCTTTTCATTGGTCAATGAAAGGTGTGTGTATCACGTGATATTTTACAGCGTCATGACAGCACGCTGACAGGATATGAGCACATTAGTACTTAGAAAGGACTAATAAAGTTGTGTTGTTGCAAGGTGCAGGCAACACTTTAACAGGAAACATGACGACGACACTTTTCTTCTTGAGTTTGGCTACATTGATTTCACTGTAAGTATATCTAATTTGGTTTTAATTCTTTTTGCTTTTTGTTGATTTTCTTTTAAATATTATGATAGTTATGTAAAATGTATAATAGTTTTATGTAAAGTTTATGTAATAGGGACAAAAGTCCTGCTAATATCAAACATATAAATTTTCGAACATTTGAAATGTGATGAAGATTTTAGAATATGAACTTGTAGTAAAATTATCTCAATAATAACTCATCTTGTCGTATACAATTAAATTAAAATAAACACAAATGAAAAATGTACCTACGCTTTAAAATGTAATATTACCACGACGAAAGATATTCAGGAAAATGTAGTCTTTAACGCTTCAAATTTAAGTTTTAAAAATATCTTACACTTCTTGAACGTATTCTTCTAAGTCATGATTTCACTAAATCTATGCAGCATTGTATCAAAACGTTTTGTAGTTAAAAAAACAACATATATCTAATTGCCCGTATGTATTTGGTTAGGTAACACTTTCTTGATTCAAATGTATTGTATAATTTTTTAAATGTAACAAAAACAATTTAATTTCCAATTTCAAAATTTCAAATTCTCATTTGGAATGGAGCTATGAAAATTGCAATCGGAGAACAACATTACTATTTCAAATCATATTTAAATAAATAAATCAAACAATCATATATCATCCACATGTGAACAGTTTTGTTATTGTTCATTGCATTATTAATTTTAATCGTAATTACATAGAAATTATTTATGTGTGTGACCTTTTTGATTTGGTTAAGATATGAAATTTGTATGATGTTATGTAACAATAGAAACAGTTTAAACAATAACCAAAAAAAAAAAAAAAAAAAAAAAAAAAATGCGAAACAAAACCAACAAAAAAAAAAACCTTGAGATTATTTAGAAAGTTCCGACCAGAAGACCCACCCTTAAGAGGTGGCAATTCCAGCAAATCGTAAATTGATTTGATCTGTATTAAAATAAAGACGACGATGCATATAATGTTTATATATGGTGTTTATGTTTATGTGTTTTTGTCGAATCTTATTAAAAAAACACACAAAAAACACACACAAAAACAAAACAAGAACATATTTGTGAATTAAATGCAGTGATTTTCTCAATCCAGTGCTAGCTAAATATGAACGGGAGCTTATATCTACCGTCATTCACAATTAATCAAACAAAGCCTATACAATTTTCAATTTTGCCATGATTAGACGACCCTAAAGGCGTCCATTTTCTTTTTATTAAATTATAGTCAAAGTCAATTAAAATTGCTCAACAATATTTGCAATGTATACGTGTTTTCATTTTCATACAAGTATTCATACGTTTAGAACTGTTTTATATATTTATTGGGTCGGTATTATTACATGTTCTAAACAATTAAGCTTTTGATAGGCAGGTTAATATTAATTTGTTCATTTATCATCACTGTTTTTTAGCGTTATTTCCGACTATCAATTCCTGTATCCGTTCTGCTTAATCGCCCATTTTTATAACAAGGCAGCGTCGAGATATGATTCATGGCTTTCAAACACAGTTTTGAACTGAGAAATTACTAATGAATAAGTAATAAGTCAAATTTTTCGCAATAAGTAAACATGACGCTGAACTAAAAGGATAAATTCCCCCAGGATATGTACAAATAACATAAAAGAGTCTGTAAAATTCGCGTTATTAAAGTATAATTGTCAGCGACATGGCTTCTTACGTTCCATAAACCCTAATTCGAATATTAGATGGAAATGTTTTGTCAGGGAATACAACTATGCTGTATTATATGTAAAACTAAACCTCAACAATAAATGTCATAAAAAGAGAATGTTTCAAACAGATTTTTGTGTTATAGAAGTGGGGTGATTGCTTTGTAATCACATTTTATCAATCGGATAGTTCTATCAGCACAGTTTCTGCAGCACATAAGAACACATTGGAAAAAAGGTTTTCTATTTGAGCATTTATACAGTTGTGGGAGTATTACCAGGAGATAAATCTGTCTCTTCAACACAATAGAATGTCCACAACAAGTTTGTCTAGAGGTCAGAACCTTGTCAGTGTCATCTTTTCTTTATTGGCATTGTATCTCTATTTGACATAAATGAGCACAAATTACATCGCCTGAATAGTTTCTTTTTGTACGTTTTTTATTTAATTATCGGCAGTTATAAAACAAATGCAAATTAACAAGCACATATGTGACACTGAAGTCACTGATAAATGCGATTAACTCATTTTATTGATTTCATTGTATTTTTTTTAATATCTATATATATATCCCCCGTTCATGTTTTAATTAAATGTTTACATTTGCTAAAGCCGGTGCTAGTGGGCCGTGGGCAATAGGATGCATAAATTATTTATGTCCATAGCAGAACAATTTTGATGAAACTACAGCGTCAACAACGTCTATTAGGATTTAAAAGGCTTGCAATTCCTTGTCATAAAAGAAGGATGACAGAAAAACATTTTGTACTTCTCTTTTTTTTTGCATTTTTACGTTTAAAATGTAGTGTTATGTTCGGTTATGTTCGTTTATGTTATAAATAATTTAATTTTCTTCATAGTTTTATTTTGAATTGTTGACGAAACTTTAGTAGCATGAATGTCATTAACACAAATGTTTTTTTTTCATAGAACTAAATGTTTAGTAAAATTGATAAATAATTAAAATTCTAAAGATGAAGAATAAATGTTAAGGAATGTTATAATATGATTTATTATTTATAACTGTTTATTAATAATTGCTTGGAAATGTCTTAAAAAGAGTTTTCAAACTTTTATTTGTTTATCATGTTTGGTTCATGACTTTAGGACTTTGGTAAAATAATTGATTTTAAAAATTGTCGATAAAGATAATTTTTGTAACATCTTAAAAAGTAAAGGCTCAATTTATAAATCAACAAGAGCATTTTGCTATTAGACTGTTTATATTTTTATTTTTTTTAAGAATACCAAGTAAAAATTGGCGTTGTCGAATCTAAAATTGGGTTATTAAGATCTCGACAGCCAGCAAATAGGTTAAATATTAACCTGAACATTAATAAAAAGCAGTTGGTGGCAAATACTAAATTTAACAGTAATAAATGAAAGTCAAAAGTACCGTATGTAAAATTCTGAATGTGAATATCATTTCTATTTAACTTTTAACTCTTTATTCCAGTGACAATTTCATTACAAAAATGACGACAGTTTAATTTAAAAAAGTAAAGTAATTAATTATTTATTTTGTGAAGATTTATGAGGGAACTATAGCTTCATTGAACATAACGCTAGCAGCTATATGCCGTTGTTGTTTTTTAATCTTTCGAAGTATTTGATCTGAGACTACTGTAATCACTTGATTAAATTGAACTGAGTACTATGGTATACAAAAGAGACATAATTAATTTGTAAATGTTAAATGAAGTCATAAAGTAATAAAACTGTTATTTTATTAATATCATTTACACAATTTCTGTTTTATTATTTACACTTTTACATAATTTCATTTACCACAACCATAAGGAAACCTCAAAAATAATTTGAAGCACTACTTAATGTTCCAGTATCACAGAAACGCATATTGCCCGATAGATGGCAAACATTCAATGTAGTTATATTTTAATTAAAAAACATTGGCTTCTTATAACGATATATCTTATTGAGTTTATGATCATAAAGTCGTTAAAGCTGAGGCGGTATTTTATATTCTAAGCGTGAAGTAATTGGTAATGAAATATCCGTATCAAACAAAGCAATTTCCTTTCATCCGGAAACTAGTGCAATTATGACAATAATATCATCGGTTTAACTAAGTTTATAATGCAGGAATCATTCAACTTTCGACCACTTTTATTGACTGCGTTACCTTTTTACAGTTCCACTTACCGTTTTTAAAGCCATGTAAACCATACGTATATTGCTTTTGGTTGTTTTGCTACTTTGTCAGTTTTTTTTCTAGATGAAATTGTTATTTTAGTAGTCTCGATTCAGTTTTTAACGTTATTCTTCTCAAAACAATCGCTTCGTTGCCTTAAATGTGCACAAGTTATACTAGCAATTTGTTTCACATCACAAATATGACAATGTACACAGTAATGATGCAAAAAGAAAATCTAAAGAAAACTGAAACGGCTCGGGCGATTGAGCCTGTTAATAGACAATTGTTGCAAGTTCAAGCTACTGTTCACACTCCCTAGCACCGGCTTATGAACTGTTCAACATTTCCACATGACAATGGTCAAATTAAGAATTTGTGAAAGACATTTTTACTTATTCTTATGTTAAAATGAACGAATAAATCGTGTGACCATTTGCCTGCAATTTGTCTGATCTCTTTCATGCTTGATTGTTGATGCATATCATGTGTATACAGCATGTCTCGAGAGAATGTGACCGTACAGATAATGATTCTAGATGACCAATACTGTAAACATATCTGATGTGACACGGTAATAGATACGTTCTTTACAATATATCACTTGTGAAGTTGACGTATATCGGACGTTACTGAAAGTTTTCTACACAGGCACTAATGTAAAGCCACTCTCTCATTCCACTGTTATGTTTGTGCTGGTTTTATTGGATAGAATAATTAGACGAAGAAATTGTTTATCTGGTCGGTTTACAATGAATAATAAATGGAGTCAAATACGAAACAGTCGTGTCAGTTACATAAACTTGTAAATTGCTCTTACATCCTAAAAATGCAATTAAGCCACTGAACGCTCGTCATTTTAGATGTTTGGAAATTGAATATAAAAATTGTATGAATAACTTTTAGGAGCATGTAAACAATTATTCCACACATGTGCATTTCTTTATCCCACCTTAATGAAACCTAACATTTACCAAAACTCAAACAGGAAGCTTATTGCACAAACAAATAAAAGGAAAAATAAAACAAACAAAAAATGTCATTGAAAACAAAATGACCAGTTTGTGTTCATTCAACATTAGGATATTCTTACATTTGTCTATGTTCAGTATGGAAATGATTATTCAATTGTTTACAATTTTTGTTTTCATCTACTAATGTAT